GACAGGTAGATGTACTTGGTCCAACTGACATACAAATTCAACTTAAGAACAAACCTATAGAACCTATCTTGTTTGTAACCTGGGGACACCTGTACTTCACTTCTTTTGATGGCTAAATAATATTCCACCATTTGTTCATTGCTCATGTGTTGATGAGCCTTGGGGTTGTTCCCTCCTGGCTGCTGTGGACAGAGTGTAAAGTGTTTGATTCTCTATTTGTAATTCCTTGGGTATATACCTGGGAGTACAATTGCTGGGTCCTATAATATTTCTATGTTTAACTTTTGATCTGGCATCTGTTCTTGTTTCTCCATATTGATCCCCACATCCATACCCTACAGATAGGCCTGAACCAGGCCAAGATGACCAGGGTCAAGGAGAGGCCGGGACACCCACATCAATCATGGTTCACTTTACCTGTTACACTTACTACATATTGCTGTTCTCAAGTTTTGGGAAATTATATCAAATGTTTTCCTCTTAAGATGGAATCATAGAACTTTTCAAGCCAGAAGAAACTACAGGGGTTTCCCAACTTGGTGAATTTTCAAACTTTCCTTGGCCAATTCCTCCCAGACCTCTAGGGAGGGCCCCGGGAGCCTCTCATCTACCTACCCCAAACATGCTGACTCTGGTTTTATCTGTTTTATATTTTTGAGTAAGAGAAGAGGGATAAAAATTAAAAATCTAAATTGCTTTCTTGTTGCTGGGACTTACTTATACCCCTGGACCTTTTACCCATTCAGTGAGTGTTCTGTTTGATATTGCAGAGAAAGGTGAAATAGGAACAAAGAAAGGGAAGCATTTCTGGATTCTATGGTTTAGAGGCCGAGGCTTCCGAAAGGGCAGAGTTCATTGCCCTAGTTAGAGGTGGGTTAGAGGTTTGAGAAGTGAGGAAAGGCAAAGGTCTCTTGGAGCTGGAGGAGAGGGAGGAAAGTGAACAGGGAGGCAGATCTGCTGGGCCTGGATGGGGGACCAGACTCTGGTGGGTGTGGAGTCGGGCTCTAGAGGCCTCCAGGCTCTTCTGGGTGTCACAGGAAGCCCAGTCTCTGTGGGAGGAAGCTGTGTCCTCATAAGAGGAGCTTCCCTAGTGGATTTCTTGTCTGTTGATGACTTCCTTGTGGCCAGCTGGCATGAGGACCCCCATTTGCCTACAATACTCTACTCCTTCCTGGGCCATATGCAGCTACTGGTCTATTCAATTTCTATTCACCCTGTTCCCCTTCCTGTTATATTCCAATTTGGTTCATGGTGGCAATGTGCCTACCAAAAATTTCCTGGGCTTCCTTCAAGGTCATGTGGCTAGACTGGCCAATGAGAGGGGAATGAAAGGTTTACGTCTTCCACTGGAAGAGGCTATAGGAAAGCTATTGTTTTCCTAAGAAAAATGGACAGACTCAGCTGGCACGGGCCTTCTGCCTTCTCCTTTCTGCCTTTTCCTGCCTGAAATGGAGGCATGATGCCTGCAAATGCCCCAACCATTTTGTGACCCCTGTCTAAGGATGACGGGGGTGGGGTGTGGGTGGAGGCAGAGCAGGGTGGTAGGTGGAGCCTGCTAGAGCAGCCGCCATGTTAGGGCTGGCTTACCCAGTGCTGTTTCCTGGTTTTAGGAATAAACCCCTCATTCAACCCCTATCTGACTGCTGAACTGAGCACAATTATGCCAGGCCCTGTGACTCTTACTATGTATAGACAGCTCGTATTGGGGCATCTTTCTCACATTCATGAGCCCCGCCCTGTGGTTGCTGGGGGACAGGGCTCTAGAGACCTGGAGAGGTCGTGCAGAATAAAACCAAATGGAACCTGTTTGTCACCTCCCCAGAGCCAGGACATGGGTAGAATATTGTCCTTCCGTTGCAGAAGAAGGGGTTCACTTAAAAACTAAAGTTCTCTGCTTCAGCTCAATCCTCTGCCTGAGATTGAGGGGCACAAAATGACCTGACCACAGCCCTACAGATAGCTGGCAGATGATATGCTCAGAAGGCAGGTGTCCCCTGCCCTCCCCATGCTTTCTTAGTCACCAGAGTGGTTCAAGTGCCCAGCTCCTTCATGATTTGTTTTATCTTCTGCTAAGGCGATTAGCTGAGTATCTGGCATGTCAAATTAGGAACATTTGAAGGCTTTTGAATGAAAACAAACAAAGCTTAAACAAATCAAATAATATACAAGAAATCCAGATGGTAATTAAAAGGATGAATCCTGGTGTTTCTAAATAACAAATAGGTCTCTTAATCTTAATTATTAATTAGTAAATTAAACTCGACTATTCATATGTTCTCATATTGTTCTGATTTATTCATCATCAGTTAAGGTAGGTAGCAGACATAATTAACCGTATGTGAATCACTATATTCATAAACAGATGCAAGGTTCGGACAGGCACCCATGGTGTAAGGTGAAGAGGGTTATGCTTCTCCTGGCATCTGTAGCTGATAGAACTCTCCAGGCTAGGACAGTGTGGATCCGGTGTCAGTCACTGCCTCTAAGAAATAATGTTCTCGTCTGGAAGCCTGGAGCAGAAGATACATTGCTTTTTCGCTGAGCACAGTGTATGGAGTATGGGTTGGGAAAGTCACCATGAGAGCTTTGAGACAGGCCCATGGTAATAGGTCTTCAACCCAAGTGCCTGGTACAGGGAGCTTCGTAGGGGGTCCCGTTGGCGTACAGCTCCCTCTGGTGGCCAGTTTTTTCCCTGCAAGTTTTTCCTCAAAAATTAAACCCATTCCACTATCCCCCACCCCCCCACGGTGGAGCAATTGTGTTTGGCAGTTTTGTGGTGATTCTGTACCTCTTTTAGGAAAGCATTTTTATGTTTCTTATATTTTATGTTCAATACAATTTTCCAGAGTCACAGCCTGAATTCCTTTTGAATTTTAAATTTTGCTTCTTGGCTTTCTTCAGGTGAAGAGGGTTGTAAGGCTTCTCCCTGGTATCTGAGATGTTCACTTTCAAATCTTGCCTTTAGACACCAATATTTAGTGAACCAGCTGGAAGGAAGGAGACCATTTCTGACTCCATCTGTGTAAAAGGGAAATTCCTGTGGTCAAGGTGTATTTTTTTAGATTGATTTAATTAAAATTTATTTTTTAATGTATGTGAAAGGCCTTAGAAAACTTTGAAGTCTGGCATATCAAAGTATTACCTGCATATCCATCATGTGTCTCAAGAGAATAGGAAATAGCCACTGAGCTCAGTTATAAAGGCAGGGAATACTCAACTAGAAGGATGAAAGATCATTCTTTCATTCCTTCATCAAACATTTATTAAGCACTGGCAGTTAGCAAATACAAAGAAGTTCCTAATAGCCGTACAATCTAGTAGAGGAGAGAGAATCATAAATAAATATAACAATGGACTTTTGTAAGACTTAACTTCCCTTTATATTAACAACAACACAAAATCACTTTAACTCAGTCATGTGGGAAGACATACTATGCTAGATAATATGATATTTGCTAACAACTATATATATACATATATCTCATATAAAGGAAAATAAACCCACATGTAATCATCAGAAGATAATTCAGTGGTTTGGACGCTACCTTTCAGTATGGTGTAGATCTGTGGTCCCCAACCATTGGGCAGCAGACTGCTTCTGGTCCATGGCCTGTTAGGGACCAGGCTGTACAGCAGGAGGTGAGTGGGTGGTAAGCAGGCAAAGCCTCCTCTGTGTTTACAGCCGCTCCCCATCACCGCATCACTGCCTAAGCTGGGCCTCCTGTCAGATCAGCAGCAGCATTAGATCCTCACAGGAGGTGAGCCCTATTACAGACTGCACAAGTGACAGATCGAGTTTGTGCAGTCATTCTGAGAATCTAATGCCCGAAGATCTGAGGTGGAGCTGAGGCAGCGATGCAGTGCTGGGTCGGTCTTGTTACAGGAAAACAACCTAAGGGCTCCTACTGATTCTGCAGTATGGTGAGTTGCGTAATTATTTCATTATATATTACAATGTAATAATAATAGAAATAAAGTGCACAATAAATGTAATGCGCTTGAATCATCCTGAACCTATTCACCCCCCGCCCCAATCTGCGGAAAAATTTATCTTCCATGAAACTGGTCCATGCTACCAGAAAGGCCGGGGACCACTGTTTTAGATGATACCTTAAAAGCTTTATTCTGTCCCTCTCTTTTCTGAAATAATAAAAAGGAATGTTGATACATCAAAAAAGAAAAAAAAAAAGAAAGAAAAAGGAAAAGAAAAAAGCAAAAGAAGGAAGGAAGGAAGAAAGAGAAAGAAAGTTGCCATGATAAGCATAGTGTCTAGCAAAATAGAAGCTCAAAAATGTTTGAGAAGGCCGGGCACAGTGGCGCACGTCTGTAATCTTAGCACTCTGGGAGGCTGAGGCGGGTGGATTGCTTGAGCTCAGGAGTTCAAGACCAGCTTGAGCAGGAGCGATACACAGTCTCTAAAAGCCAGGCATTGTGGCAGGGGTCTGTAGTCCCAGCTAGTCTCAGCCAGTTGGGAGGCTGAGGAAAGAGAATCACTTAAGTCCAAGAATTTAAAGTTGTACTCTACTGAGAGTGACAAAGTGAAACTCTGTCTAAAAAAAAAAAGAGAGAAATGAACAAAGACATTAATGACAAGAAGGGGAAAGGGATTTTTCTATTTTTTTGTGGAATTCAGTAAGAGGTTCTCACATCCTAGGTATGACGATGTTAATATCTATCCTCCCTTCTTTGATTCAGTGGGGAAAATGTGAAGGGATCATAGAGAGGTCTGTGGGGACGGCCAACGAGTTGGAAATGGAAGTTTTCCAATGAGATTTCTAGGTCATTTTCTTAAAGGGGATTGACTCAGCTGGAAGGTAGATTCTTTTCCCTTCCCTTTCTCTGTTTGTCTGGATGTAATTACTGGAGCTTCAGCAGCCATATTGGGCCATGAGAAAAACTTGTACTAAAGTGATAGGGAGCAGACAGATAAAAGGGATCTAGGTCCCTGATGACCATGAAGCCACCAAACAAATCTTTGACTGTTTTTTTTTTTTTTGGCTAAAAATATGGAACACTTCATAAATTTGCATTTCATCCTTGAGCAGGGGCCACACTGATCTTCTCTGTACCGTTTCAATTTTAGTATATGTGCTGCCGAAGCGAGCACCAAACCTTTGACTTGTTAACCTCTTGACTTTTTGTGTAGGAGAAATGAAACAATTCTTTTGTTTGCACCTATAATTGAGTTTTCTGTTATATGCAGCGGAACCAAATATTAACTTATTCACTAAGATTGTGCTGTTCTTCTCAGGGGTTTGACTGCCCCCAATTTCCTTCCTTTTACCTTCTCTCATAGCTTTTCCTGCCACTGACCCTCCACCTATCCTTACGTCCAGGCTTATTCTTTAAGGGTCATGTAGTAAATATTTTAGGTTTTGCAAACCACACGATCTCTATTGCATCCCTAGAACAAGTGCAACTCTGCTATTACAGTGTAAAACAGCCACAGACAATACACAAACAAATGTATGTTGCTATGTTCCAGTAAAACTTCGTGAGAACATACATCTGGTCTCCAGGCCCTGTGTGCTGACCTTGGCTTTAGTCCACAAGCTTAATGCAAAAGAAAAATAGCTTTTGTTCATAAATTGTATGGAGACAGCCTGTCATTCAAGAATATCTCCCGTACTGGACCCTGGATTTTCCAAGGTGGGGCCATGTCTTATGTGTGTGTATATTCCCATCACCTAGCGCAGCATTTGGTATGTGATAAGGGTTTGGAACACCTTTTCAAATAAATTAATTAAAGTGAAGAATCAAGTCAAGATTATAAGGAATCCTTTGAAGGCTGGAACATCGGTCGAAGTTGGTGTCATTGAGACAGCAAGCTCTGGTTTAAACTAAAATCCTTTTAAGTGATGACCACTTGAATGGATGTGAAACCTGAACTAACCATAAATATCTTATCTTCTTATGTTTTGAGTGGATTATTCCATGTGTTCCAGAGTCTTCTGCACATTAAACCGCAGGGTAACAGCACCATGCCTGCTCCTTCCCTGGTGTCACACTTAGTGGACAGCCTGGACTCAAGGATAGAGCCTTGGCCCCAGCCTGCTGTGTTGAGTGGGCATGTGGAAAATTTGAGAACAGAAGAGGCAAATTGGTGAGCTGGCTGGAGCAGGGAGGAAGCATCATTTCCAGGAGGAAGGATGCTTCCAGTGCCTGGGGGCTACTGAGAGGGACTGGGCCATATCTGTGACCCTGTCTTGCCCCTTCTTTCTCTAGGAGATGGACATAGTAGCAACTGGTTTCTTTGGACAGGGGCACTTATGCTGGTTTAAGGGACAAAATTCACATGCTCTGTGTGCAAACTCGCACTCCCATCTTTCCCGTTTATCTCATATTACAGGCTCACAGTCTGCCTGGCATGGTACAAGATGCAAAGGTGAAGTAATGAATGCGTCTCGTGTGAGGGTGCTAGATCCTGTTTTGCTCATTTCCCTGCTATTTTACGCATACTGGTCCGCAATCCCTTGTCCAAAACCTTCAGGGACTTACGCGTTTTAGAGTGAAGATTATTGGAGGTTTCAGGAAGGTAAAACAGTGCCCACCTTATATGTTATGTAACACCCCCAGAACAGTCTGGGGAAAGCTGCCCTTAACCCAACATGTTAATATTTGTGCAGAAAAATAGAAATATTCACACTCAGGAGGACCAACAGAAACTTCTGGTCATTCACTTCTGGTCAAGGTTTGCCACCAAATTCATTTTCATGCCAAATACATTCAGAGAGGAAAAGGTTTTCCGAGGTTTTGGATTTCAGAAATATGAATTAGGGGTTCTGGGCCTGTGTTCGGTCTCTTTTAAAGTGCCGTCTCCCAGTGATTCGTTATTAATTTTCCTCCAGAAGCACATTTGTCTCGTCCTCCTGCTCCTCACGGGGATTTCACGTTCAGACGTGTTTGTTCTTCATGGAGGTCCAGGGCACATTGCCTGACACATGGCAGGTGCTTAGGAAGTTTCGTTAACTAAACACATAGCACTCTTTTGAGATCAAAGTTATGGTATCTTTTTTTTTACAGTTGATGGAACCAAGGCCAGAAGGTTCAGGGGTGGGGCACAGGGGCCACAGTCTTTACCTCCTAGCTCTGTGTCTTTGTCATCCCTGCTCATCTGCACACAGTCAGAGTGAGGAGCTGCACATGTACCCAGGTTTGATTTCTTTTTTTATTTTTTTTGAGACAAGAGTCTTACTATGTCACCCTCAGTAGAATTCTGTGGCATCACAGCTCACAGCAACCTCAAACTCTTGGGCTTAAGTGATTCTCTTGCTTCAGCCTTCCAGGTAGCTGGGACTGCAGGCGCTCACCACAACACCCGGCTATTTTTTTGTTGCAGTTGTCATTGTTGTTTAGCAGGCCCAGGCCAGGCTCTAACCTACCACTCTCGGTGTATGTGGCCAGTGTCCTACCCACTGAATTATGGGTGCTGTCCTATACCCAGGTTTTAAAGGGACAAAAGCTGGGTCTACAGCAGTGGTTTTCAGCAGGGGGAGTTGTTGTCCAGATAGGACAGAGGGGAAGCTGGCAATGTCTAGAGATAATTTTGGCTGCCACAGCTGCGGGGAGGGTGCTCCAGTGTCTGGTGGGTAGAGGCCAGGAATGTTTCCAGACATCCTACAATGCACAGGACTACTCCCACAACCAAGGACTGGCCAGTCCTGAAAGTCAGCAATGTTGAGGTTGAGATGTCACCTAATTAAGAAAAAAAACACCTGATCAAAAATCTTGAATTAAGACACATATCCGACTCCTTTCTGTATGTATCAGGGACTCTCCATGTCATTTCGGGCAACTCCCTCACCCAATCCCAGGTCCTGTGCAGGTAACGTGTCCACCCCCTGCCCCTTACAAACCAAACCACCTGCCCCCTGCCAACCAAACCAGTGCTCCTCTGACTTGGATGGTGGTCCCAGCCCAAGGACGGGTTGCACTCTTGGCCTGAGAAGGAAAGTGAACACATGGCTTATCTCTCTGATGCCAGAGTATGCTTAAAGAATTTGAAACCATGGTCAAAGTAATGAAACAAATGCCTTTAAGACCAGAATGATGATCTTATATTTGTTGTCTCTTTATCTGTCTTGCAAGATGGGAAAGGCAAACCATTGCCTTTGGTAACTTTTGAATTACCAGCAGAGGGCAGGCAACGCTCACCTAAGGGGAAAACCCACGTTCCCGGCTGCCTTCAAGCAGAGATTCAAATGCCAACGTCTACAGGACCTACCTGATTAACTATTTTGCTTGGCCATTTTCTTTCTCTATGTCGTTCGTAATTGATATGATTTTTATATTAGTAGTTGTCTCAGTAAAAATTCTGTGTCTGGAAATATTTGATTTCTCCTTTTTTGGAAAGGAGATCTGAAAGTCTTTACTGAAAAATTTAAAATTTCTAATTAAATATAAGGTATGCACACCTTTTGGGGGTAAGATGATTATAAGAGGGACTTTAGGGTGGCACTTGTGGCTCAAAGGGGTAGGGCGCCGGCCCCATATGCTGGAGGTGGCGGGTTCAAACCCAGCCCCAGCCAAAAAC